GCTGCTATGGCTAAGAAACATATCCGACGAAAAATTCACAATAACTGAAGAACCGCAAGATTTGGCTGGTGAGTTAGTAACTGACAATAACCGCAGTAACAATGTGCACTTTAGTTAAATAAACAGGATATAAACAAACGAAACAGAAATTGAAAGTTAAATACTTATTCAAGAATACGAGATCAATAGACGAAATTACTGCTTTACACAATTAGAGTACACTATTTACTTCCAGTGTAACTTTATGAAACATGAACAGGTCTTCTAAGCCCTAAAGTTACACTGATGGAGTTATTACGACATGTAGTTATGAAGAGCTATGCAGACTGTGCAAATCAGATTAGAAGCAGTGGACATTTGGTGCATTAGGAGGATGCTAAGAACATCTTGGACACACACACAAAAAGACAAATGTGGAATGTTACAAAGCACAAAAGTACAGTGGTGTCTTACGAAAGTAATCAGGACCAGGCAAATTGCAATAACAGACAAGACTAAAGAATAGATGAGAAGAGGAAAAGAAAGGCTCAAATACATTAATAACGTCAGTAATTGATAGGCCTGTAGCAAGCAATACCAATGTTATATTTTTCAAAGTAAATTAATTCAAAGGCAGTAGTTGAAGCAACAGTATTGGTTAAATTGTTTAACATACCTAATTTTATTTCTTTTCTACTTCATTTTTTTATCGTTATGCTTTTATCATAATGATTCTTTTGCATTGTTAGCTTAAAATATGTATTTAGGACTAACCACATTCCTATACGCTGGCCAAATCTCGTGAGATATTATTGAGATTACGAACGAAAATGTCGCGAGAGTAACCAAACTGATGAAACAATCTAATCTTTATAAGTAGGAACGTAACAAAAATATACTTAATTAGCTATTCTCGTTACCAGGCTCATTTCTTTAGTTTCGCTCTAAGTAGGTATCTTGCTCTGATCGAAAGTTAATATTAATCACCTAAGGGGGGTGTGGGGTTGATGACTTCACTTAGTGGTAATCAAAGCTCAACAGACCAATGAGAAGACAAAGGCGGAATAAGGTCACATTTACAAACGGGCAATAGTGGATTTCCGGCAATAAACTAAGTCCAGAGGAACACACAAGTTTTGTGATAATTATCATTTATTGTTATAGAAGAAAGTAGTCATGATTTTATAATATAATTTTTCCATGTAGCAAATACAGGGCTAATTATTGAATATCATTTAGAATCTTTACATATTACATTAGCGACTTAAAAATATGAACATTTAAGTAGAACAAATTGTTTTATATTAATAGATTAAAGTTACTTTCTCCCTACGACGTTATGATTCACACTACGAATATTTTAATTAAAAGTTGTTTTGAAAGTTATGTCTTTCACTACTTACTGTAAATATGGAGTTCTTTTTCCGCTCTCTCGGTCTGAAAAGAAGGAGCTTCTGCAGATACTTCACATCGATAGATCCCTTCTGAGTCTAAATCAGTCTTCTGGAGAAGCACGTGACCTACTGACGAACTATCCATCTGTAACCAATGATCATTTTAACTTTAGATGTACATTTTATATCATATGTCTTACATACAAACATATATTATGTCTTACGTACAAACTTGTCTTATATCTATCTTATATACAAACATATTTATGTCATCTGTACAAACATATTTTATATCTTATATACAAACATATTTATGTCATCTGTACAAACATATTTTATATCTTATATACAAACATATTTATGTCTTCTGTACAAACATATTTTATATATTATATACAAACATATTTATGTCT